GCTGCTGCTGCTGCTGCTGCTGCTGCTGCTGCTGCTGCAGGCCGGATGGGGAAGCGTTTGAGCCAGTGCGATTCGACGTGTCCCTTGCGCCTCGTTTGCTGCTGCACTCGGTGCAGCAGCACGGGGCTTGTCCGTGTCTGCTGCAGCAGCGGCAGCAGCTGTACGGCGTGTGTCGGCTGCAGATTCCTTCGGCTTCTTTTGCTGCTCTTTTTGCTGCTGAAGTGCTGCAGCCTTTTTACCTCTTTCAAGTTGCTGCTGTTCTTCTTTGGGTCTTAGACGAATATTATTCTTACGCGCTGCTGGTCTCCATAATAACTCTTGCTTCCACTGTTTCAGATGTGCTCACGGAAAGGCAAGAACAGCATTTGCTGCTGCTGCTGCTGCTGCTGCCTCTGCTCCTGCTGTTCGTGCGTATGCTGCTGCGCCTGCTGCATCTGCTGCTGCTGCAGTAGCTGCATCTGCTGCTGCTGCAGTAGCAGCTGCATTTGCTGCTGCTGCTGCGTCTGCTGCTACTGCGGCTGCTGCAGTGGCTGCCATGGCTGCTGAAGCTGCTGCTGCTGTTGCTGCTGTGCGTGACAGCAGTGGTGTTTATGTTGCTGATGCTGCAGCTGCTGAGGCACCAATAGCAGCTGCTGCGACTGCTGCTGTTGCCTCTGTCTATCCTGCTGCTGCTGCGTACTTTCTTGCCGCTCCTGCTGCTGCCCCTCTTATATGCAGCAGCTTACCGTGTTTGTGCTGCTGCTGCTGCTGCTGATCTGCAGGCAGCAGGTGGGCCACCTCAAGAAAGTTGCAGAAACCGTTTCGACAGTTGAAGTGCTGCGGCGCACATCCTGCAGCAGCAGCTGCAGCAGCAGCAGCAGCAGGAGTTGCAGCAGCAGCAGCAGCAGCGGCTTCAGCTGCTGCAGCAGCGACAGTGGCCTCAAGAGGATGAAGATCTCTTCTGAGGATTTAACCAATGGCGATTTGCTACTGCTGAAGCCGGGCATGAGGGTGCCGTGCGACTTGCTGCTGCTGCAGGGGACAGTGAGGGATCTGCTGCTGCTGCTGCTGCTGCTGCTGCTGCTGCTGTATGGCTGCATATGAAGAGCTGTGCTGCATGCATTGCCTCTGCTGCTTGTTGCTGCCGTGCCAACTGCTGTTGCATTCCTGCAGCAGCAGATGCTGCTCGCCTGCAGCAGCAGGTGCTGCTGATGCCCGCGTTGCTGCACTGCCTTCCACTGTTTCTGCAGCAGAAGCAGCAACAGCTGCAGTTCGCGCAGCAGCAAGTGCTGCTGCTACTGCTGCTGCTGCTTCATGTGCTCATGTGCTGCTTGGTTGCTGCACGCAGCTCTGCACGGAGTGCACTTCCTGCTGCTGCTACTGCTGTGGGTTCACTTGCTGCTAGGTTGCTGCGTGCAGTACAGCAATGAATGAACATGCTGCTGCTGCTGCTGCTGCTGCTGCTGTTTTGGCCAGGTGGTGCTAGATGAACACTGCCTTACTGGGGAGTGCTTTCCAGTCCTTAAGGGCTCTTTGCCGCTCAGCAAGAACTGCGAAAGAGTCATATCTTTAGAGCAGGTGCTTTGCTGCTGCTGCTGTTGCTGCTGCTGTTGCTGCTGCTGTTGCTGTTGCTGCTGCTGTTGCTGGCTGTTGAGTTCTGTTTCGCTTTCTGCCTCTTTCCTTTTCAGTGTCGGTGGCCGTCTTCCTTGTCTCCCTTTGCTGCTGCTACTACTGGAATTGCCGCTGCTGCTGCTGGAAGTGCTGCTGCTGCTGCTGCTGCTGCTGCACTTCTCTAGCTAGGTGCTGCACTTCGATGCTGGCTGCTATGGCTAGCTGCCGCAGCGTGTGTATCTGCTGCAATGGTGACGCTTGCTGCAGCCCTACCGCTGCTGCTGCTGTGGCTGCTGTGTGAGCTGCTGCTTTTGCTGCATTTGCTCGCTGGTGCTGCTGCTGCTGCTGCTGCAGGAGTCGGGTCACTTGGTGTTTGCTGGAACAGAAGTTTTGGCTTCGACGGGCAGCAGCGAAACAGCTGGAAACTTCGCAGCAGGTAAAACTTTTAATAATTTACTTTATTTAAAAAATTAAAAGATTCAATTTTGAAAATAAACAAATTTATTTTAATTGCTGTTTTAAATCAACTCCCTGTTGCTGCTTTTTGTGCTTTCTTTGGTGAAGCCTTTTTTGCTGCTTCGTTTAATAATACCGTTTAAATCACATTTTAAAATAATGCCATTTTGAATAATGCCTTTTTGCCTTGTGTTTGCGAAGTCGCTGCTGCTGCTGCTGCTGCTGCTGCTTTGCTCGCGGCTGCAGCTGCTGCGGCTGCAGCTGCACGCCTGCACGGCTCTTGCAGCTTCTGCTGCTACCGCTGCTGCTGCTTCGCTTGCTGCTTTTGCTGCTGCGGCTGCAGCTGCATGCCTGCATGGCTTTTGCCGTTCCTGCTGCTGCTGCTGCTGCTGCTGCAGAGTGCAGCACGTTTGCTGTAGGTGCTGTTTGCCGCGTTGGCTTTACAACCGCTCAAGGAGAAACTGTCCGTTCTCTCCTTTTTCCTTCTCCCCCAAGAATGAATTTTGATGGAGGTACCAAGCAGCAGCAGCAGCAGCAGCAGCAGCTAGAGCAGCAGCAGCAGCAGCACGAGCTGCCATCGCTGCTGGAGACGAGCAGCACGAGCGTTTTGTTGCAGCGCCAGGGCGAGTTGCCTCGCGCTGCGTGCCCGCCGCTGCTGCTGCTGCTACAACCGCCGCTGCTGCTGCTGCGCTGCTGCTGCTGCTGCTGCGCTGCAGAGTCTCTGTCGTTTTTGTTTTGTTTGGCGCTGCTGACAGCAGTTGCAATTTGCTTCACTGGATATTCTTTTTATAAAAGAGGAGTTCATTTTAAGACTGCTTTTTTCCTTTTGGGAGATTTGCTGACAGACGCTCTGCCCCCAGCCCTCAGGGCCACCCTCTCCGTCTCCCTCACAGCTGCTGCTGCCAGGTCCCCTGCTGCTGCTGCTGCTGCTGCTGCTGCTGGTGCTGCTGTTGCATAATGCACCTAATTGGGGGCCTGTGAACAAACTGCACGCCAGAGCAGAAGAGCCACACGAAGCCAGTAGGCGAGCGCAAGCAGCTTTTGTTGCTTTTGCTGCAGTTGCTACCGCTGCTGCTGCTGCAGTTGCTGCTGCTGCTGCCTCTGCTGCTGCTGCTGCTGCAGGTTGTTTTCGCTGTACGGCATTTCTGTTGTGTCTCCCAGCCGCATCAACGCCTGCGGCTTCGTGCGCTGTCTTTGTTTGGACAAGACGGGGACTTTGACTGAAGATGGAGTTTCTTTGTTGGGCTGTCTCACAGCCTGCCACTGCAGCAGCAGCAGCAGCAGCAGCAGCGGCAGCACCAGCGGCGGCGGCGGTGGCGGGGCGTGCAGCTGCGGGGAGGGGCGGCGGGAGGCCGGGCGCAGCGCCGCTGCGCGCGATAGAGATACTGCAGCAGCAGCAGCAGCAGCAGATAGCCTAGCAGCAGCAGCAGCAGCAGGAGCGACCTCCCACCTCAGCGACTCCCTGGTGCCTGCGTCGGCGCTGCAGCCCTGCAGCAGCAGCTGCTGCGCCTGCTGCAGCTGCCGCATTCATTTGCTGCAGTGCATGTCTTGCTGCTCTTCTCTTGCAAACATAAAAGGAAATGTTGCAGGAGACCCTCTCGAGGCCTGTTTGCTTGCTGCTGCTGGATGGCAGCTGATGGACGCTGCTGCTGCTGCTGCTGCTGCAGCAGCAGGGGGGCGCAAGGCGAGAAGTGCAGCGGGAGGAGCAGCAGAAGCGACGGAAGAAGCAACAGCAAATGAGCTGCACCTCGCGCAGCAGTTCGAGCTGCTGCAGCAACGGCTAGGCGCAGCAGCAGCAGCAGCAGCAGCATCAAGGGGAGCCACATTCTTCTTCCCCAGGAGACAACAAACAAACGCTGCCGCCTGGGACCTGGTAATCTTCTTCCTCCTGCTGCTGCTGCTGTTGCTGCTGCTGCTGCTGCTGCTGCTGCTGTGGCTGCTGCTGCTGCTGCTGCTGCTGCTGCTGCTGGCGTGCCATGGGGGTGTGCAAACAACCCAAGAGATAGGCACAAGCATGACAAAGTTAATTTAACTAATTAAATTAAATTAAATTGATTATATTTAATTAAATTAATCAAACTACATCAAATTAATTTTAAATTTAATTCTTTTTCTCAGGGCCCCAGACTCTGCGTCATTCGCCGCTTTCTGTTCAACGCTCTGGTCATGCGGATGTCAGTGATTGCCATTTGCCTCAACACTGGGGCTTTGATGGTAAACCCCGAGGGTTTAGGGTTAAGGGTTTAGGGTTTAGGGTTTAGGGCTTAGGGCTTAGGGTTTAGGGTTTAGGGTTTAGGGTTTGGGGTTTAGGGTTTGGGGTTTAGGGTTTGGGGTTTAGGGGTCTAGGGTTTAGGGTTTGGGGTTTTGGGTGTAGGGTTAAGGGATTAGGGCTCACGATTTAGGATTTAAAGTACAGGGCGCAGGGTTTGGGGTTTAGGGTTTAGGGTTTAGGGTTTACTGTTTGGGGCTCAGGGGACGAGGTTTTGTGGCTACGTGAACTGCTGCTGTAGCTGCTACTTGAACTGCGAGTGCTGCCGTTGCTGCTGCGTTTGCTGTTTGCGCTGCTGTTGCTGCTGCTGCCGCTTTTCGCGCTGCTGTTGCTGCTACTGCTGCTGCTGCTGTTTGCACTGCTGTTGCTGCTGCTGCTGTTGGCTGCTGTTGATGACGCTGCCAAAGCAGCCCACGAGCAGACCCTACAGCAGTTGCTGCTGCTTTCACTACATTCCTGCTGCTGCTGCTGCTGCTGCAGATATATTCGAAGGGCAGCCCTGAAAGTTTGCTGCCTCTTTGCGACCCTGAGACGGTGCCGCCAGGCACTGAGAAGCGCATCACCGATTTTGCTGCTTTGGGATACAGGTGCTGCTGCTGCTGCTGCTGCTGCTGCTTTTGCTTCTGCTCCTGTTGCTGGTGGCGGTGGCGTTGCTTTGCCGGCTGCTGCTGGTTCTGCTGAGGACGGCAGCATTTCTGTTGCTGCTGCTGCAGATGCCGTTGCTGCTTCTGTTTTCTTTGCTGCCGACATCAGTGTTGCTGCAGCAAGTGGTGGTTTTGTACTGTTGCTGCTGCTGCTGCTGTTGCTGCTGCTGCTGCAGCAGCAGCAGCGGAGCAGCTTTTTGGTGTCGTTGCTGTCGTGCACCAAACCGTTTGTAAACCTGAGTCCGGAGACCATGAGCCGTGAGCGGAAGGGCGAACGATGAACCCGCAAACCCAAAACCCTAAACCCTAAACCCTGATTTGGGGTTTTTGCTGCAGAGTGCTGGCTGCAGCGTGGCGGCCCGTGGGGCGGCAGGAGAAGTGGGAGAGGGTGGAGCGGCAGCGGGCGGAGAGCGGTTTGCTGTTTTTGGGATTATTTGTTTTTGTAAATAAATTAAAAAAAGAAACAAAAGAAACAATTAAAGTTTTGAAAGAAGCTCAAGTGGACCTCCGGGTCCTCACGGGCGACTCGCCCCACACCGCCATCGGCGTTGCTGCGGAGTGCGGCATGCTCGACGGCCAGGACAGCAGCAGCAGCAGCTGCTGCTGCTGCTGCAGCAGCAGCAGCGGCAGCAGCAGCAGCAGCAGCGGCAGCGGCAGCAGCAGCAGCAGCAGCAGCTGCAGCAGCAGCAGCAGCAGCGGCAGCAGCAGAGGGGCGGGAGACGGGAGCGCGCAGGCCAAAGACGCGCCGGCTCTACAGAGCCGCACAGACAGCAAGAGCTTCATGCAGCTGCAGCAGCAGCAGCAGCAGCAGCAAGAGCCGCTGCAGCAGCTGGAGCAGTATTTTGAGGGACACCAGCCGCTTCATATCTTACGCACACATCAGTAGGGCTCTCTTTGCTGCTGCTGCTGTTGCTGCTGCTGCTGCTGCTGCACTCATACAGAGAGTCTGTGGGACCGTTGCAGCTGCAGCGTGGGGGCAGTGTTTTGCTGCTGCTGTCACTGCTGCTACCACTACCCTCGATGATGCTGCTGCTGCTGCGCGATGGTAGCACTTCATTCCTGCTGCTGCTGCTGCACTGCTGCTGCTGCTACTGCTGCTGCTGCAGTGCGTTGATTATGGGAGATGTCTACTCCCGCCACGAAGAAGCTGTTGGCCGCCGCGAGTTTCTTGTTTGGTCTTTGGTGTTGCTGCCGCGGGGGCCTAACGCCCAGCAGCAGCAGCAGCAGCAGCAGCAGCAGCAGCAGCAGGAGCAGCAGCAGCAGCAGGATCAAGACCCTGCAGCAGGGCTGCAGCCCTTGTCTTCTCTAGACATCCGCGTGCTGCTGTCGCTGCTGCCCGACGCAAGAGGAGCTGTTTTGGTGTTAACAGGTGCTGCTGCTTTTATAAAATTAAAATTTCATTAAATTATATTTATTTAATTAAACTAATTCTGATTTATTAATTCGGCATTCATTTAATTATATAAATTTTCCTTTTAAGTCTGCACTACTTTGTTTTCTTCTGTCTCGCGACTGCTTCCTCTTTGGTTTCCTGCTGCTGCTGCTGCTGCTTTGCTGCTGCTTCCCATTTGCTGTTCTGCTGCTGCTGCTGCTGCTGCTGCTGCCGCGGGAGTGCACCTCAGGATTACTGCGGCATTGCCCCGGCTCACTGATTCTCGTTTCTTGTGCTGCTTCTATTTTCTGTTTTGCTGCTTTGCTGCTGCTGCTTTGCTGCTGCTGCTTTGCTGCTGCTGCTGCTCTGCTGCTGGCTCTCTGATCCTTGTTGCCCCACAGCCAAATAAGTTAAATGTGTGCTGCTTCTTGTTTATTTATTTATTTATTTTAATTAATAAATTAATTATTTAATTAAAATAAATTTAATTAATTAGTTAATTAATTAGTTATCGACCATCCATTTCCTCGCTGAAACACTTTAACAACTTTGCTTAATAAATAAATTGACAATCCACAGAGGAGCCAGACAACTGCATTATCAATCAAATAAATTAATTAAAAGGAATAATAAAAAAGTAATAAATCAACTTCTTTGCTGCTGCTGCTGCTGCTGCTGCTGTTGCTGCTGCTGCTGCTGCTGCGCAGGCCGCGCCTTCCGCCACCTCTCCCGGCTGCACTTCTTGCTGGGGCTTCCCTTTTCTGAGCGCTGCGACCAGATAGTTCAAGACGTTTTGGCTCGGCACCATTACCAGCTGCAGCAGCTGCAGCTGCAGCAGCAGCAGCAGCAGCAGCAGCAGCAGCCGTCGGTGCTACAGCAGCAGCAGCAGCAGGAACAGCAGCAGCAACAGCTGGGCGCAGGAAGCGCGCACGCTGAGTCCGCGATGCTGCCGCTAGCTGAACTTCCCCCCAATGCCGACCAGCAGCAGCAGCAGCAGCAGCAGCACGGCGCTGCTGCTCACGCCGAAAAGCTTAGAGATGCTGTTGAGGATCTGCTGTTTCAGACATCCATGCTGCTGCCACAGCCGCAGCTGCTGCAGCAGCAGCAGCAGCAGCAGCAGCCGACCAGCCACCTTCACTTTCCTTTTGCAGACTCAAAGTATAGATCTTCTGAGGAAGACACAATGCAGCAGCAGCAGCAGCAGCAGCTTGAGGCGGACGAGGAACTGCTGCAGCAGGAAGCAGCAGATGCGCTGCAGCAGCACTTGGGAGATCTGCAGCAGCAGCACCCCGGAGAGCTGCTGCTGCCAGATGCAGCAGCACATGCTTCTCTGTCTCGCGTTGACCGAATTCAGCAGCTGCTGCACCACCCAGAGTACCACAGGACGGAAGCAGCAGAGGCAGCAGCAGCAGCAGCGGCAGCAGCAGCAGCAGCAGCAGCAGCAGCAGCAGCAGGCAATGAAGAACCCTGTGGGAGCCCCCAAGGGCCCCTCAGCTGGCTGCTGCGCTTCTGCCGGCAGCAGCAAAGATCTGCTCGCGTTGTTCCATCTTTGGCGAGGCAGCGCCCCTCTCCTTCCAGCAGCAGCAGCAGCAGCAGCAGCAGCAGTTGGTCTCTGGGGAAACTGCGCGCTGCAGCACGTCGGTTTGGGCTTGTCCGAGATGGCCACAGCGAGGCCTTGCGAGAGCCGCTGCTGCACATAGAGCAGCAGCAGCAACAGCAGCAGGAACGGCAGAGGGAAACTCACCTACAGCCGCAGCAGCAGCAGCAGCAGCAGCAGCAGCACTTGGCGCTGAAGCTGGAAGCCCCCGTGTCTCCTCTTGTTGCTGCTGGAGGTCTCACAGATTTAATGCATCATGAAAATTGTCTCAAGGCTTTTGAGGGAATGGTCCTAACTCTTTCATCTTGGCGCTGCAGCAGCAGCTGCAGCTGCAGACGTCCCTCTGCTGCTGCTGCTGCTGCTGCCAGCAGCAGCTGCAGCAGCAGCTTCTGCAGCAGCGGCAGCTGCTGCAACACTGCCAGTGGGCACCAGCCGCAGCAGCAAGGCTGGCCCCACAGTCCCAGCAGCAGCAGCAGCGCCAGCAGCAGCAGCAGCAGCAGCAGCAGCAGCAGTTGCTGCTGCAGGCCGGGCCATGAGCAGCACTTCAAAATGTCTGTTTACGAATTTGCTCTAAGACGCACTTTGCTGCTGTGCCGCGCGACGCCTCAGGTGCTGCAGCTTCTTTTAAAATAAATATTTAATTTAATTTAATTAATTTAGTTTAATTAATTTAATTCGATTTAATTTAATTAATTAGTTTAATTTAATCAATTTAATTTATTTTAATTTAATTAATTAGTTTAATTTTAATTTATTCCTTTTAATTCTGTTTCTGCTTCTTTAATGGGCGCCCCTCCTGTGCCTCTTCCGCCACATCTCAACTTTTATTTATTTCCACCATTAATTAATTAATTAATTAATTAATTAATTAATTTATTTATTTATTTAATTATTTGTTGTTTGCTGCAGGACAAAGGGGACTTCGTGTCTGCGCTGCAGCAGCTTCCGTCTTCTCCATTTGTGGGAATGGTCGGCGACGGCACGAATGACTTGCTCGCCATCAAACGCGCAGACGTGGGGGTAAGCAGCAGCAGCAGCAACAGCAGCAGCAGCAGCAGCAGCAGCAGGGGCTGTAGCAGGTGCTGTAGCAGGGGCTAAGGCGGGGCCTGCAGGGGGAGCAGCAGCAGCAGCAGCAGCAGCAACAGGGGCCGTAGCAGGGGCTAAAGCAGTGCCTGTAGGGGGAGCAGGAGGGAGAGCAGCAACAGCAGCAGGGGGCAGCAGCAGGGGCAGCAGCTGGGGCTGCTGGGAAGCAGGGGTAGTAGCAGCAGCAGCAGGGGCAGCAGGGGAAGCAGAAAAGAGTCATCAAGAGCTGCAGCTGCAGCTGCAGCAGCAGCAGCTGCTGCTGCTGCTGCAATGGCAGCAGCAGCTGCAGCATTAGCTTCTTGTTACTGCTGATTTGCATTTTGCGTGACAGTTGCCCATGCGTCTGTGCCCGTAGGTGTGCGTCTCAGCCGACAGCAGCAGCAGCAGCAGCAGCAGCAGCAGCGAGGTCGACAGCCCGGCCTCCTGCGCCTCTGCGCCCACCGCCAGCAGCAGCAGCAGCAGCAGCAGCAGCAGGGGCGCAGCAGCTTCAGCGGGGGCCTCTTTGGCAGCAACATTCAGCACTTCGAGTTTGTTCAACTGCGTCAATTTGCTGCGGGAGGGCCGCTGCGTGCTGCAGAACAGCACAAGTGCTGTTTTGTTTATAACTCTTTATTCTCTCATTCAACTTTCCACTGTCGTTTGCCTCTACCACTTCGGACAAAACCTCAGCGACGCCCAGGTCTGCTGCTGCTGCTGCTGCTGCTGCTGCGGGGGGTGCTGCTGCTGCTGCTGCTGCGGGGGGTGCTGGGAATGCTGCTGCTGCTGCTGGGGATGCTGCTGGGGATGCTGCTGCTGTTGCTGCTGCTGTTGACCTTGCAGCTGCTGCTGCTGCTGCTCAGGTGCTGCTGCTGCTGCTGTTCGTGCTGCTGCTGCTTGTGCTGCAGTACATGTGGGTGGACCTTTTGACAATTCTTCCGCTTTCTTTTTTTCTTTCGGGATCTCAAGCAGCAAAACGACTGTCGCCCTTTTCGCCGCAGCAAAGTCTTTTTGCTGCTCCCGTGGTGCTTTCTGCTGCAGGCCAGGTGCTGCTGCTGCTGCTGCTGCTTGCTGCAGTGTGAATAACAATTAAATTATTTTTGTTTATTTATTTAATTCATTCAATTAATTTAATTACTTAATTGTCTTAATTTTTAATTTAATCCATTTGTTCGAGTGGTTTATCTGCTGCTGGATTCACTGAAATCGGTTTCTGAATTTGAGGTTGGAGTCTTTTGCTGAAGAATGAAATATATATTATTCATTCATTTATTTATTTGTTTATTTGTTTACTTACTTATTTTAATTTATTAATTCATTATTTATTTATTCATGTATTTATTTGTTGTTTCACTTGTTTGCTGCCGATCTAGGGCAGTCAGCTGCTGCTGAAGAGGCAGCTTGCAGCATGTCTTGGTGCCTTCCCTCTGCTGCTGCTGCTGCTGCTGTTGTTGCCGCTATTGCCGTTGCTACTGCTGTTGCTGCTGCTGCTGCTGCAGGGTATTATTCAGGTGTCTTTCCTGATAATCGCTTTGATGCTGTGCTTACCACAGGCTTCGGCACAGCCACAGCACGGTAGGTTCTGCTGCTGCTGCTGCTGCTGCTCTTGATGACGTTGCTGCTGCTATTGCTGCTTTCCCCGTTCCGTTTTGTTCTACTCTCTAGCTGCTTCTGTGGTTGATACTTCATTTTTTTCTGTTGTTTAGAAGTGCTCGTGTTGCTGCTGCTGCTACCAACTTGCAGTAGCAGCAGCAAGAACCCCATGTGCAACAGCAGCAACAGCAGCAGCAGCAGCAGCAGCAGCTTGCGCGCCTGTGTCTCAGGTTTATCAAGTGTAGTCAATACATCTGTCTTCATCTTTTCTGCTTTGCAATATATTTACGTTTGTGCTGCTCTGGGCACCACGGGCCTGCAGTGGAGGCAGGGTGAGCTGCTGCCGCTGCTGCTGCTGCTGCTGTTGCGGCTGCTGCTGCTTCCGGAGCTGTTGTTTGTGGTCTTTGCCGACCTTTTTGCTGCTGCTCTCGCGGAGGCTGCTGAGGCAGCGGTGGGTCTAGCCGGAGCTGCTGCTGCAGCTGTTGCTGCTGCTGGTGGCCTTTTGCCCCTGCTGTCATTGCTGCTGCTGCTGCTGTCTTTGCTGCTGCTGTTGCTGCTGCAGGCCTGCTGCGAAATCGCCGCTGCGTGGCGTACATGTGTCTGCTTGCGGGCTTTTGCTTTTCATTTTTATTATTTCCTCCTGCTGCTGCTGTGCCTTCTTCGCACGTTTCCTCGCCAGCAGCAGCAGCAGCAGCAGCAGCAGCAGACTGGGGCCTCGTGTCGCTGCTGCACCGCGTGTTTCTGGATTTGCTGCAGCTGGCTGAGAGGGCCCGGGGGGAGTTTTACGTGTGGCTGGGGCTTGTGCCGCTGCCTGTGCTGCTGCAGCAGCAGCTGCTGCTGCTGTCTGCATGCAACTGCGCAGTAACTGTGGGGTTTGAGCTGCTCGTTGTTGCTGCTGCTCTCACTTCCTATTTGCTGCAGAGGGAGCAGGCTGGAGCCACAGCTTCTTACTTGCCTAAGACCAGTGGTGCATGCGCGGTCTTGCTGAAACAGACCAGCAGCAGCAGCAGCAGCAGCAGCTATACCATTTCACCTTCTGCAGCACCCCACAGCGAAAAACACATTCAAGTGATCCCTTTAGGGGCCCCCCAGGGGGCCCCCCAGGGGGCCTCCGCCACGAACAATTTGGGGGCCCCCCAGGGGCCCCCTTTGCACCCAACTAGGGGCCCATAGGGGTGCCCTTTTGAAGGCAACTAGAGGGCCTTAGGGG